TCGTACTAAAATATAACTCGTTTTTAAACTAGCAACTGTTTCCTCTGCCACACAAACAGAGAATCTGTGTTGGGTCAATGAGTACTCACGTGTACTGCTCTGTACCTTAAAACTTAAATCTGAGCAGCGTGTGTGTACTCTGTATCCTGGTTTGGGTTCTTTACTAACAAACACACAAATTAAACATTTAATCTAAACCAGATTGGAGTTGACAGCTAAATTAAAAAAATATCAATGATGTTAGCAGCAATAGGAGCAGCTTGTGGAGTATTTTATGTGTAACTGTATATAATTGTGTATATTGTGAGTCTTTATGCATGTATGGCACAAATATTAAGAGCTCCACTAATGATCAGCCTCGCTCTAATCTATGTCAAAATACAGTCACACACCCCCACTATCACCATGGCAACAAGACTCCACAGCAACAGTATGGAAACAGGGCACCATGGAAACAGCCGCTCTCCTCCAGGTGCTGGTGCATGCTGGGAGTTGGAGTTCAAAAATGGAAGATGTGTATTTTTTACTTATGTGCTTCATACAATACATTCACAAACAGGTCCCTCTTGTAAACGAGTCCTCATGACTCAGTGAGACTAACTTGTATAAATAAAGGTTGAATTAATTTTTAAAAAATCTATCCATATATCAATGATAGAATCAACATTAAAATATGTTCACAAATTACTTTATCAAATGATTTACCAGACATTATTTGAACTAAAAGTGTATCGTTCTTAATAGGTACCTAATGAATTCAAATATAGTTTTGTAAATATATATATATGTATATATATATATATATATATATATATATATATATAGACCTGCAGCTTTCATCTCCATGTCTTTTCTACAGGCCAGAGAAAGGAATAAATTATGAGACGCCAACAGCGGATTATATCCTGGACAAAGCCAACTACTGACCATCATCCAGATGTGGTGCAACGATGAGTTGATGCTGGAAAAGGAGACTTCTGTTTCTAATCCCCACAGCATCAGTCTGCCTCATCAGATGAGCAAAGACTTGTTTCAAAATGTGCTCACAAAATAATGTGACAGCTTTTTACTGCAGACAAGACATAAAATATTGAAAAAAAAAACAAAAAAAAAACAATTACCTCATCAGATGTTTGTATTTGTTTAAATGTTTCGTCATTTTAGATCATTTCTAAGAGAAGAATAGGATTCTGGGAGATTTTGGTCACTATTAAACAGATTGCATGTTCGATTGATTTAAAGCTCCACTCTTTCAGTAAAATGAGAAATAATATAAAAATAGAGGAAACAGGCAACAGAGAGGTGCCAAAAGGGGGGATGGAGACAAACAAAGAAGAGTTGAGATTGGTTGGTTGGGGGAGAAGGAGACGCACCGAGAACGTGGCTGCAAGGAGAAACAGCACATCAGAGGGAAGGAGAAGTGATGCAGCTCCTGAGCAGCACAAATGTGTTCAGAGCTCAAATATAGGTCACACATCTCCAGTGACTGAACCAGATTCCTGCAGTATTCAATATACAGCATGCACGAACAAAAGCTCTGCTAAATCCCCTCCATGTTCTGCAGTTAGCAGACACCTAATGCTGTACAAGTTGAATAAACGTATGGATTTTTGATATTTGCAAGTGCATTTCACAGGAATGTTTCACAGCTTATTAGTAAAGATGCATATAGTAAGAAGCTTTTAAATCTGTTTGCTGCTACCAATACAAATGTGATGCATCCACCTGAGACTAAATATTGTCAAAGAGATATAAACCCTCAGAGATTTTCAGGCTAACTTTATGCAAACACAGTCTGTTTGGTGTAAATGATGCTACAAAGCTGCCATCTGCACAAAAAGACAGGAACATGGATTCCAGAATGCTGTTTACGTTCTGATAAATGATGCTTGTAACAGCAAAATTAGATATTTCCTGCTGAACACCAAGAAACGCATCCGATAACAGTTCACCTTTTTGCAAAGCATTTGCAGTCAGATAATCATATAAGAGCAACACAGTTTGAATTTAGTCAGAACTTTGTAAAAAACATGAAACAGTTACTGATTTATGATTGAATCCATCTGATGCAGGTCATAATTTTATTTGTATATCTACTTAGAACCCTAAAAATAACTTTAAAGATCTCAACTATTAACTAATCTTAGTTGTTCAAAGCTGGACCCAAAGAAATAAACTAGTCATGTCAACTGATCTCACTAAATATGGCTGTTCAAATGTAATTCAGTTAATTGCAGTTTCTGCAAACATGCAGTGGGAATGCCGAGTGTTGAATGACTTCAAAGAAATTGACTGAAAAACCTTGAAAATTAGTCGTTAAACCTGCAAACATTAAGAACTAAAAGAAGTAAAGCTCTTGCAGGAAGCCAAACGTAGCAAAGGGCTAAAAGCTAAAATTATCCGAACTAGGTCAAATGTATGATTACTTCAATTATGCAGAAGTAGTTCAGTTGCAAGAAGCAGCACGTGGTCAAACAGTTCATGGATGTTAGTGAATTTAAAAATATTCTGAAAGCACATCTTTAATATTTTCTTTATTTAACAGCTGTGACCGCCAAGCACTTCCTGTTGCCACAGTAACCTCCCCACTTTGAATGAACAGGGATTATAATCTAACGCCACCTGACACTGCATTGGCCAGTTTTCTGCCTGGGTTGAAGAAACGACAGAGCAGTCGGGTCAGCTGTTCTGGTTTCACAGAATGGAGCGACAAAAAGAGATCTGAGGAGAAATCAAACCAGGAGGATCGCTCCGTGTCCTGGATGAAGTCAAGCTTTCTGGGTATCACATATGCAGTTTATGCACGACTGCAGGCCTGAGCATCATAACTCAATAATTCACTCCATTTCCAGAGGCGTCAGTGTGCACGGCTGCAGGGTGGTCTGTCAATCAATGCACGGATCAATAAATAGCAGACAGACTGATGGGAAATGAAGCTGAACGGTTGTTGCATAGCTGCATGGTTATGATGATTCAAAGGCCGGTCCAAAACTAGCCAAAAGAGTCTGCACATTAGACTTTTACACGTGCACATTTACAGTGACCATATGAACCTGATGCACACACATTTAGAAGACACACATTCTGATAAAGGGCATGACATCACTGTCAATGTGAGACATTTAAACCCATATCAGATTAACTTAAGATGGGGGTAAGGACACATGGGCTCCAGTCAGTGTTTCCTTAGTTTCTGTGTGTGAATCAGGTGCAACACTAAAGGTGTAGCCTCCTTTGAGACAACGCTTATCACCCGTTCACACTTTAGAGAAGATCATCTCATGGAGGACAGAGTTTTAGTCATTTCGGTGAAACGTTGTGAGCGACATCACGTGTCAGCATCACAAAATGTCACACTCAGAATATGTGGGCGGGTGACTCGGAGCTAACATCACATCAAACGTCAGCACTTGTAAAACTGACTGAATTATGGCAGTTCATGTTTTCTAAGGTCAGTTGGCTGTGAGCGGCCATCTTGGATTAAGTTGACTCCAAAAGTTAATCCGCTGTAGATTTATTTCCAGTAATTATTTCCTGAAAGTTTAATAAAATCTGTTCAGTGGTTCGAGAGATGTTTTGCTAACAGAGACATTGACTCCAAATAGTTAAAGGCAAAATTTTAAACAAAGAACTTACTCAGTAGAACTCGGGACATTTGTTGGGGATTATACTGACACTGCACTTTTTATGTAAACATCTGTAACATTAACTGAGTTAGAGCCATTTATTGATAATAAGGTCTGATGGCTGTGGCGGCCAGCTTGAAAAAAGAAGGTAGATCCATTAATTGCTTTCTGCAAATTTTATTAAAATTCATCAAGTGGTTCATGAAATATTTTGCTAACAGCCAGACACACAAACACAGAGACAAAAACGTTACATCCAGTGGTGTAGTCCACATTCTTGTACTGGGTATACTGTGCTTAGAAACCAAAGTACACTGGTTAGTACAATGTAATTGTGAATTTATTTGATTTTTAAGCATATTGAACATTTAAAAATTATCTGATGCATTAATTTGAATAAATGAACAACTAAATTTGTACAACAGCTGGTTTTATATTAAAAACGTGTTATAGAATTTATAAAACAGTATCAAAGTAAAACATGTCTAAGTATTAAGTAGTAAGCACAGAAGTATTAATTATACAAAAAAAATGGGTCGAACCGACTCAATGTGTCTATAAAATGTTACAAACGTGTTGACTATGACATGAGCCCATGTCATGTATGTAGTGCCAGTGATACATGACATGGCTTGTGTCATTGGGTAAACTGAAATTTCCAAGCTTTTCTAGTGGATACCCACGTATCATGTACACTACACCACTGGTTACATCAATAATAAATATAATATTACTAATGACCACATACTGGGAGAGGGAGGGGGAGGGGGGGGGGGGGTTATGGTGGGAGTGACCATGAAGGTTTTGGATGTAAACCTGAGGACATGGGACTGGTTTTGCTATGCCAGCTGGCCTCAGATCCGTTTTCTCCAGCAGGTAGAGGCAGCAGGATGAATAACTGACCTATCATGGTGTTATTTTAGCTCCCTTCCATCTGAAGGAGTAATCCTGCAGAGATGGAGGAGAGCCACCCTCCTCCTCCACCCTCCATGGATAGATACAGCGCAGTAAAACAGCAGAAAGGCTCATGTGCACAGCAGCACTTTGTTTTGCTGCTGGTCAAGGATGCCTCCCTCAGACTGGTTTCAGTCTGAAAGCCTTTGCAAAAGCCCGTCCTCTCCTCTGACCAAATGTTTCTGTTCAGCCTGCAGCCAGACGGGCCCTGTTTATGCGCCGCACTGACACTTGCATGAAACATTTAGACTGATGCACAGACCTGATGGGCTCCGGTCCATTTCATGTGGTTCTGACTGTGACAAACCTGCACCTGTCTTATTGGATCAATAATAATTAATAATCAACTGTGTAAAAGCATGAGTGCAGGTTTGATCTGAGCCGGTCTCTGAAGTGACACGTATCCTCAGCAGGTCTTACCTCTGCAAAGAACGACTCCATCCCGTCCGGCTACTCCTCCCAGACGATGCGCGCCCGGCCCGGCTGCGCGCAAACACCGGCTCCGCTCTCCCGTGCGCGAAACTCAGCGACAAAAACGTGCACGTGCGGGTCCAGGTGAAGGGAGAGCGTGTTTCTGTTTCCCATTCAATAGGTGTCTATTTCATCCCGCAAGAGAAATGGATCGTGCAGCCAGAAACGCTCAAAGAATCGCATGAGAAAAATCAAAGGAGGATGAAAATGAAAAATGTCCCCGCCGGGGATCCGTCCGATGATGTTAATTGAAGTAGACCGTTTTTCTAGGTCTTTCTCATTTGGACGACCCTGTAGCTTATCTGTGTGTGTGTGTTTGTGCGTGTGTGTGTGGATAGGTGTGTGTGAAAGGATGAGAGTCCAGGGGAAAGGATGAGCTCGATGCTTCCCTCGGCACGCACCGAGGGGGCGGTGCAGAAACAGTCTTCTCTAATACAAACACACATAGCCGCCCTAAAAGTACTAACAACAGCTTTTCTGCTATATTTAGCAGTGATTTGTCAAAAAGACCCAGCTTGGATACTTCCCAATTCTGTTTTATTTAAGAAGCATTGAGGTGGGATGAAAACAGCTGCTGTCCAGATGTTGATCCTGACACAAACCAGCAGCAGAACCACCATCAGGCGTCATTAAAGGTATTCATTGCAATTTCACGAGGACCAGTGTAAAAAAAAAATCTTATTGATAGTAAATGTATCCTTAGACTGCACAATTAGTGAAAGTTTGCTTTGTTTACATTGAGTGCGTACCTGCGTTTCATAATTTCATCACCCAGATGAACAGCAAAAGCAGAGTGGTGGTGAAGCAGCATGCTTGTGTTCGGAGGCTCGCTGGTTCAAATCCCCCTGACCATAAAGTCAGGCGGAAGAAACGCACCCACATCTGCCTTCATCCTCATTTGCTCCACTCTGGAGCTTCTCTGGAAACGTGATCAAAGTTCTGATGTTTGAGTTTGTTTTTGCAGGATGATTTTTTTATTTTTTTATTTTTGAGGTTCTCATAAGGACAGAGCTGCAGGGGCTGTAAGATGCATCCATCAAGTAGTCCATCTGTCTGAAGCCTTTATGGAGTCAAGTGTTGTAAAACTCTGGAGCCCCGGAGGCAGAAGAGACGACGAAGAGGAGCAGCTTTTGTCAGCTTAAATATGACTTCACTTCAGGGACACTCCATTTTCATCAGGGGGGCACTTAAAAAACTGGACATGGCTACAAAGGCCACACTTTGTTTGAGGTGTTTGTGTGTCTGATGTTTTGGACTGTGCACACACAGATGCACAAAGACTTGTGAGACACATTGCTCATGAGTCAGGTTTATTAAAGAAGATTATATTTGAAAAATATAATTTCTAGGAACGCTGCAGGACTTTCAGTAGTATAACTCTTTATAAAAAAGAAGCACTTTACTTTCACTATTGTATATTGTAAAATCAATAAAACTGTAAAGATGATGGATGTAGGGAAAAATACTATTATCTTTAATTAAAACTTTACTCTAAACCTCAAACTACTGGTTCAAGTTAATGCCGATAACTTAAAACAACAACAAAAATAAAAAATAAAAACTTTCTTGAAATGAATCCCCAAGATTAACTGTTGAGACATTCAGGTGCTGATACTGGTTACACAAGTCTGAAGAAGGTTTTGGCTTTCCCAGTTCAATTATGACCTGCAGCAACGTTTGCTAAACAAAATTAAATCTTTAATGATCCCTTAAGTGTTCTCTTTGAGATTTAGAGACTTATTTGTTTTTTGTTATGAGATAAAGGCTTTTTTTGTCTAACCTGTCAGCTGAGCGAGCTATATGCAATATTTATGATGTACTTATTGTGGCAACAAGCCAAAAACAGAACAACTCCTTCAACTTGTGCATGTACAACAAAAGACAAGCGCACAGAAATAAAACGTCTTGCTGTGAATTAATTTGAAAACTGTGTCTGCCTTGTCCTCATGGGGCTGAGTGGTCCTGCAGCAGATGAAGCATCTGCTCTCAGCTTCTGCCTTAATGTCTCCATCACTGACCATTGCTACATTACGTGTGTGTTTATGGACAAATCATCAGTCGGACCTGAAGAAACTGAAACTTCCCCATTCACAGTGAGTCCGTGCACGCTTGTAGAAACTAACCTGACCATAACACAATTAACATTAAGCACATGTATCTAAACAATGCGTGCGTGTGTCATATGTTGCATCACTCACAACGCCACAGGCGATTAGTTTTACGACCGCAGCCATAAATCTTTCACTTTATTAGCCTCTTCCTCTTCCAGCGACTCCTCTTCTGTGAACCTCCTCCTCTTCCAGACTCATCTGTTAATGGCTGACAAAGAAAAGACCGTTTATTAAAACAGATGCAGAGGAACTCCATGTGAACTCTCTGGGTGGATCATCAGCCAAACACTGGAGGTAATTAACTGGTGGCACATGACAGTCTGCCCTCTTCCAGTTCTAGAGTTTTACGTATCATGATTAAATGATCTGTTGTTATCAGGTTATAAAGTTATTTTATTGAGCTTTAAGGTGTGTGTGAGTTTACACAATGCCAAGCTGGAACAACATCAGCAATGACCGTAGAGAACTGTTGCTGTCCTTTTAAGAAAAGTATTTGACGTTCATCAACCTGTAGTTCTTTCTTCTTCTTCTTTTGGCTGATCCCTTCTTCAGGGTCGCCACAGTGAACTAACTCACATAAACACTTGGCAGTGGATGCAAATCCCAACGTTGTAAATAAGAGTGGGCCAAAACTTCCTCCACAGTGATGTGAACCACTAACAAAGTCAAAGAAATGACAAATGAGGATTATTGCTGCGGAAACTTTGTTTTACACTCACAGCTCCTCATTGTGGGCTTTGCTTTTATTTAGATATAATGTGGAATCTGTTGTGTGTTTTGAAGAATATAGATTAGATGTGAATAATTTTATAACCTAATAAATAAACAGATCTTTTTCATTGTGTCATGATGCTGAAAGAGGATGCGTGCACTATTTCCCAAGACCATGTGAGTCATTTCTCTGGCAATAGATCATAACAACCACTTAAAAACGTCTCTACACCATCATTCTTCAGGGGCTTACAAAAGCTCGCGCACACGCACATGCACGCACATACGATCTTCACAGATTTGTTTCGGTTTGTTTGCTTATGTTAAACCACTTGAGCATCAACTTTAATTTTTATCTGATGTAAAATCTTTATGAACACCAATTTAAATTAGGATATAAAGAAATATTCACTTTAACATAAACGCTCAAACCTTTATTTGTTTGTTTTGCCTTCCATTTTTAGGAGAAATAGTCTCAAACTCCAGATTTTCTGTAGACTGGACATAATTAAATGATCCAAAGGTTTTAAATTGTGATTTACAAATGAAGATCTGATTCATGAATCATCTGACACTAGTGGGGGAGAAAGTACTCAAACACTGTACTTAAGTAAAAGTACAAATAAACAGACAAAAATGTACTCTAGTAAAAGTAGAAGTACCACATTAACATTTTTACTTACAAAGTAAATAAAAGTAAGTACTTGCTTTTAAAAATACTTAAAGTATTAAACGTTAAAGCAATGGTCTACAATATTAAGTGTGCCTACCGTATGTATATTTTCTGTAATACATTAATAGTGTTTAACACAAAGCAAAAGCAATGTGTCATTTTAACTGCAGTAAACATATTTAAGTAAAAGTTGTCTGCCTGAACAAAAGAGGCATTAGACACAACTAACAAAGGAACTGATCATAATCTGATCATTTCAACTCTAGTTAAAATACTGTCTATTCAACCTTGTAATGGGTCAATAGTGAACAATATTTTAACTTCATGACGCCATTTTTAAAACTTAGACCTGATTGTTGAACCATTTGGAGACATCTCTTGTCTCCTAACATCATGAACTGACATATTTTAATATTGCAGCAAGAATTTCTTGTTCAAGTTTAGAAGAAGTTGGTTTTCAAAGTTTTTTTAGTTCAGTATGGCTCTTTTGGGAGATAAAATCTGTCCTTCTGTACTCAATAGTATTTCAATACTCTTTCAATAGTCTTTCAATAATATTTCAATAATATTTCAATAGTCTTTCAATAATCTTTCAATGATCTTTCAATAATCTTTCAATAGTCCTTCAGTAGTCTTTCAATAATCTTTCAATAGTCTTTCAGTAGTCTTTTTTTACTTAAGAAGTCTGACCTTGATTCAGAAATTCTGGCCAACTATAGACCTATATCTAATCTAACTTTAATCTAAAAGTTCTAGAGAAAATAGTTGCAGGTCAGTTGCGTAAACATCTACAAAGAAATAATAATAATAATGTCATCACAATGTCAGCACTGTATGTTTCCATACAATGGCGAAATTAGTCTCTGCATTTAACCCATCCACCACCAGATGGTGCAGTGGGCAGCTATTGAAAGCGCCCGGGGGACATTTTGGGGATGAGACGTGCTGCCCAGAGACGCCACGTGATGTGCAGTGACTGGGGATCGAACCTGGGACTTTCGGGTCCCAAGCCGGCTGCCCTGCCTCTACACCATCTCGGCCCCCATTACATAATCTGTTTGAAGAGATTCAGTCTGGGTTTAGAGCTCATCATAGCACAGAAACAGCACTAGTAAAAGTCACTAATGATATTCTCATGGCCTCAGACAATGGACTTGTGTCATACTGGTCCTGTTAGACCTCAGTGCTGCATTTGATACAGTTGATCACAATATTTTACTACAAAGGCTTGAATATGATATTGGGATTACAGGAACAGCTCTAAATGGTCTAAATCATATCTATCTGATAGATTCCAGTTTGTAAATGTAAATGATAAATCTTCTTCATACACCAAAGTTAGTCATGGAGTTCCTCAGGGCTCAGTGCTTGGACCAATGCTCTTTACTTTATATATGCTTCCATTAGGTAAAGTTATTAAACAGCATGGGATAAATTGTCATTTTTATGCTGATGACACACAATTACTGTATATT